AGGGAGGCGGGGACACGCGGGCGCGGCGACGCAGTCCGCCCGGGAGAGGGTGGGTGCTTGCTCGCTCGGCTCCGTGCCGCCCCCTGGCTGCTGGCTGCTGGCTGCTGGCTGCTGGCTGCTGGCTGCTGGCTTCGAGAGATGCACGCCAGGGGCCCAGGAGTTGGATGGAGTCATGGGGTAAAGAAAACCACGGCCCTCAACTTCTAAAGGAAACGGCTCCGCAAGGCCTCAGGGGTGACGCCCGCTGCCCACCCCAGCTCTCCCCACTCTCATGGTCGAGCCGCAGCGAAGGCCCTCTTTGGGGGTAAAGGCGGTCCCATCAGGGTTTGCTGCCCACCAGCCTGAACCACTGCTGGAAACTCAAGCTGGGGCAGGGGGTGGGGTGGGGAGATGTGGTGGGGGTGGGGTGGGGGTGGGGGGGTGGGGGGGGGGGGGTGGGGGGGTGGGGATTCTTTTCATTAGGCCCGCAAACCGACCCCTGGTGGGGGGGGGGGGGCGGGGTGTGTGTGTCTCCAACTCCAGGGCTCCTGGAAAGGGGAGGGCGAAGGAGGGGTGAGGGAGGCAGCAGGGACTCTTGGAGGGGGGCGAGCGTGCAGGGGAGTGGGAGTGGATACAGCAGCTGTGGGTGGGACTGGGGAGTGTGGTGGGGTGGGTGTGCAAGGGGTTGTGGGGGGCTAAGTGTTACATGTGGTGGAGCAGCGTGGCTTCCATGACAGGCTAGAACAGGGGTTCAGGCATCTAGGTGTGGGGCAGAGCAGTTGGTACCTTGGGCTCCTAGTTTCAGCATCAGCACCAGGACCCAGGTGTGTCAGAAGCCACTGGTCAACCTGGGCCACACACCTGAACCTGGCTTTTGAATTTGCTGACAGTTGCGAATGGCAGAAGCAGGCTGCCTTGGAGCCAGGGGGAGGCAGGGAGTACCCCCCCCCCCCCCGGCCACCAAGTGCACTTCTCTGCCATCGTGCAGAGTCATCTCCTTTCTGGGGGTGGGCAGGGGTGATAAGAAAGAAGGACCTTGATGGAAGAGCTGGCTCTAAGGTCCGTTTTGCTGGGATGTTACTTCTCTGTGCCATAATCCACGTTAGGGAGACAACTCTCTAATGGCCAGGGGATCCTGGCCAGGGTGCTGGTATGAGACCCTCTACCAGTCTTTCTGTAAGGAGCTCTGGTAGCATAGTGGTTGCAAATCGGGCTGTGAACCGCAAGGTTGGCAGTTCAAAACTACCAGCTGTTCCTGTAAAGATTTACAGCCTCGGAAACCCTGTACAGGGTCACTATGAGTCGGAACCGACTCCAGGGCACATAACAACACTACCACCACAGTCTGTGGCGCTGTGGGTTAATGCACCAGACTGCAAGGTCAGCGATTCAAGCTCACCAGTCCCTCCTCCGAAACCCTATACAGGGTCGCTATGGGTCAGAACCGATTTGACGGCACTTAACAACAAAAACAACCACAGCCTAACGGAGCTCCTCAGTTTGTTTTTGAAAAAGATGACAGGGATGTTCTGGTGGCAGAAGGGTCTGGCTTGGATGCGAGCGAACTCCCAACTGTTGGGGAAGGGCGCCACCTCTCAGCGCAGACTGGTAGTACAGGCCGTGATCAGAACTTGGATACATCCTAGTCACACCCATTGCTGGCTGGAAGGCGGGAGATGGTCAGTCCACACTGGCTCCGCCTCCGCCGCCTCCCCCTCCACAGAACGCGTCTTTAACCCAGATTCAAGGCCACTAGCCTGGTCTGACTAAATCATCCTCGCCTGCTTCCCACTGCAGAAGGAAAATGACCACTCAGTCTGTTGGAACAACTTCAAATTCAATCTTAGTTCATCTCTGAAGCCACAGATATTGATTCCACATCTGGCCCTACTGGCACAACATGTTAAGCACTGCACTAATAACCTAAAGGTTGGTAATTTGAACCTACTTAGTTCCGAGTGAGAAACCCTGGGCAATCTGTTCCCATGACGATGACAGGCTAGAAAACCCAATGGGGCTGTTCTCCGCTGTCCCATCAGGTGGATGTGAGTGGGAATGGGCTGGATGGGACCAACAACAACTACCCTGTGAGCCACAGGGTCCAGTGTGCCCTGGAGTCCAGGACAGAAGAAATACCAATATGGTGACCACATTCCTGGGCTCCTTTCGTGGCCTGGGTACCATCCCAGGGCTCAAATTTCCCTATAACTCCATGAGTAAGGAAACATACAACCTCATTCTGCCTGTGGAGTCTGGTTCTGCCATGTATTGGCAGTGAGCCCTTGTTTATCTTCCTGGGCCTGTTTCCCCATCTGTAAAATGGGTTTAAAAATCATCCCTTTTCTCTCCGGGGTGTTGGAATGATCACATGGGTTAATGCAGGAACAAGGGTGGCACCTAATAAAGATGTCATTCATTGTTCATTGTCACCCCACTTTGCACAAAACAGAACTGGCTCAGAGCAGAACCATAGCCAGAAGGCTTTGAAAGAACCTGCATCTCAAATCAGATGTGATGCTTCCCAGGACCCCAGCCAACATTCTTCAAAGAGACCACCGATAAGAGATGCTGTTGCTACCGACATTCTGATGTGGAGGAGGTGATGTTTGATATGAAAATAACCCCCAGCAGACAGAGCAACCAACATTCTAGAAACTTTCAGCCCCAGATGGGTAGACAAAAAGGATTAATAAAAGGAAAAAACACTCCTTCATTTTGAAGAACTTCTGATTTGATTTTATGTTGGTAATATCACATGAGGATTTACAATTGGTACTTAAATCACTCACGGAAGCAGCAGTCAAGAAATCACATGACGTATTGCATTAGGCAAATCTGCTGCACAAGGCCTCTTTAAAGTGTTCAAGAGCAAAAAGGTCAGTTGAGAACTAAGGTGCGTCGGACCTAAGCCAGGGTATTTTCAATAACCTCATATGCGTGTGAAAGTTGGACAGTGAATAAGGAAGACCATTATTGTTGTTGTTATGTGCCGTGGAGTCGGTTCCGACTCATAACGACCCTGTACAGGGTTTCCGAGTCTGTAAATCTTTACGGGAGCAGAAAGCCTCATCTTTCTGCCGCGGAACCGCTGGTAGTTTCGAACTGCTGACCTTGTGGCTTGCAGCCCGATTCGTAACCACTACGCTACCAGAGCTCCTAAGGAAGACCATAGAAGAATATTAAAAGTACCATGGACTGCCAGAAGAACAAACAAATCTGTATTCTAAGAAGTATAACCAGAATTCTCCCTGGAAGCCAGGATGGCGAGACTTGTCTCTCATACTTTGGACATATTGTCCCTGGAGAAGGCTATCATGCCAGGTAAAGTGGAGGGCCAGTGAAAAAGAGGAAGACCCCCAGTGAGATGGATTGGCACAGTGGTGGCTGCAATGGGCTCAAGCATAGCATCTGGATGGCCCAGGACTGGTGCGATTCTGTTGTATGTGAGGTTGCTGAGTTGGAATCGACTCAACGGTTTATAACAATAGCATCTCTAAATTCAAAGAAAACCGACTTGGTTGGGCTTTTGCAAGGAGGGAATGAAATCCAGGCAGTCTGCCAACACTGGATCAAGTGCTACTCAGTGAAGCGCTGGGAGGGGCTGAGCTGTTTGGGCTCCTCGGGGCCAGGGGCCCTCTCTGACCTCCTTGGGTAACCGGCAGGCAGGGCATGTGGGAGTTCTGAAATCTCCTGTGCTCAAGGTCATGTTGGGGAGCCAGGGCATTCAAGTAGCACCCCCTAAGACAAGGCTGAGAAATACTCTCAACAAGGAACCTTCAGTTATTTCCTCTTTGGTTATTTGAAAATCTAAGCCAAGCCTGAGATTCCTACATCCTGCCCCCAACCCTGGGAACAAAACTGAGCCCAGGAGGTCCCAGGACTTGGGGGTGCTGGAAGACAAGCTTCCTCCCATCACTTTGAATTCTTCAGCAGTCCTCTCTAGTCTAGAACACAGGAATAGAGGCCCCATGTTGGGGTGTGTGGGCAGTATGGGGGTGTCAGGGGACAAGCCAAGTCACTGGCATGCATCTGGTCCCCCTGGAAGTCCTGTCCTGTCCTAAAACCCACAGTGCTGGAGGGGAGGCTCTGTTTCTAATGCTTTTTAAAAGGGTCAGTAGAGAGGCCTGGAGCCAGCGTAATTTAATTTAGGAAGCTACAAAGCATTTCCAAAAGCAAACTGTGGGTCTTAGAAGAATGAACCATCTGGATTAAAGGATCCACAGCGTCACCAACACCAAGCTGCTAAAGAGGACTTTAAATCCCTGTTTCTGCACGCCATCCCTGAAACTAGGACTAGCTGCTCAGTAGCTCAGTCTCCATGTTCAGGATGCCCAGGTGGAGCAGGTGCCCAGTCCCAGCCTGCACTAGGGCTCGGCATGCCTTATGTCACTTAAGTCTTTCCGGGCTTAGACCTTGGGGCTGGTGCTACATCACCGTCACTTCACAGATGATGGCAGGGAGCTGTCACTCCAGCTGTTCAATCTCCTGGGTCCCAAGAGGAGCCCCATGCCCCAGCCACCTACATAACTCCACCCAAAGCATTTCCATAGGACCATTTCCAGACTCTTCCTGCTCAGTAGCCCTTCCTCATTTGGTTCCTAATGCATTCCTGAGTATCACCTGCAGTGAGAAATCCTACCTGGCCAGGTCTCTGTCCTCATATCTCCTCTCCGAGCACATGGAGAACCAGGCCACTGGCCCCACAGTCTGAGGTTTCCAACCCTCAGAACGGGGCAGCCTTACATAACTGAAAGGATGCTCTTATGGGTCTTTAAGGGATGT